CTCACCAACATTCTTCATCAAACACTGATCTCAACATTACTTCCTAGTTCTTTCTTGTCGTTATTCATCCTTTTTATATCTTCTTACATTCCTCTACGTAGTATGTTCTTCGGACATCCTTGTTTTCATTTCCTTTCAAGATCCCAAAATAACGCATACTTCCTGATGTAGTTTGGTGATTTCCGTAATGTATTTCTTCTCCACTTTCAACGTCTTTTCTTAATTTCCTCTTCAACTGAAAGCTTGTTTGTTATTTTCTACAGTAGACAGTTGCTGATGGATTTCAGTCAACCGACAATGAGTACAGTAGAATTAACTGTCTTGACATTCGTACTGAAGATTGTGACTTTGATATTGGTTGAGTTCCATATGTTCATCAACTGTAAGAATACGGCCGTCGCTTTGCCAATCCTCGCCTTTACGTCTGCATCCAATTCTTTTCGTTCATTGGTGATACATCATAAGTATGTGAAATATTTCACGTCTTCCAGACCTTCTCCATGAAGTGTGATTGGTTTAGTGTTCTCCGTCTTGTATTTGAGAATCTTACCTTTTCTTTTGTGAATGTTGAAGCCTACCAATGCAGAGGTTATTAGTACACTAGTTGTCTTCATCTGCATTCGATGGTGTGTATGCCCAGATCATCTTCAAAGTTCAAATCATCTAGTTGCATCCAGCCTGTTCACTTTATTTTGGACTTTTAGTCAGATAAGGAGGTCTCCATAAAGCAGTCAACCACCAAAAGAAAGAGAAAAAAGAGGAGTAAAAAGCCTTGTCTGACACCGGTCCTTACTTGGAATTCATCTTTCAGCTGTCCTTCATGCAGAACTTTGCACTGTAGTCCATCGTATGAGTTCCGGATAATTATTACAGTCTTCTCAGGTATTCCTTAGTGTCGAAGACGTTTCCATAATGTCCTCCTATCCACACTGTCAAATACCTTCTCATAATCAATAAAGTTGATGTTTAATGACGAGTTCCTTTCAACTGATTGTTCAACAATGATCCATAGTGTCGCGGTTTGATCTGTTCACGACCGTTTCTCACTGAATCTGTCCTGGGCTTCTACTGAGTCTTTTATCCGGTTCAACAACAATAATCCTGTAAACAGTTTATTATGGTCTACATAATTCTAGTAACCAGATCCGCTGAAAACTTAGAGAGATCTAGACACGAGATAATGACAATGAAGAATCATGTTTGAAAATCGTTATTCAGTTTAACATTATTACGGCATCAACTGATCTATTATTTCGTGGACTACCAATAATGTTTTCCTTCTTTGAATGCCTAACCTCTGTTTTATATTTTAATTGAAATCGGTTTAGATCTGTTAGTGATTGACATGATCTTCAGATAGAAAATAATATCAATATTTTATTCATTGTCATGCAAAAACTAGTCAACTAACTAAGGTTTCAGGCACAAACTATTAGATTCTAACTTAAGATGAAACTGAACAGTAGCTAAGAGTGATACCCAAGACGTTCTATTTGGAACTTATCAGATGAATATACTTTTCACCCAAGTTCTTGTTGATACTCAAATTCAAATTCAAAGAAGACTAGTCAACTCCGAACCATATCATTTAAAGATTCAAACAACCCTTACAAATGAATTGAAATCCACACCTTTGTGTAAACTAGTGATTGTCTGGACTTAATAACTAACTGGATAACGTGATGACATTAAGAGTGAGAGTATTGTAGTTAAGTCTTGATTTAAAACGATCAACAATACTGTGCTGATACATCCAGCTGACGAGTTCAAAATAAGACGAAATTCATGTCTTGAATTCCATTGCTAGCCCCTATCTGACTTCATTTATGAATTTGATAAAGTTTAATGGTAGATCTTTAGCAATATGAGCACAGAATACAATTCGCGACGGGGTGAATTCCTTTTATTTTACCTGCACCAAAATCTTCCAAATATGGTAGACAGAATGATATCAATCGTAACAAACTTGAATTTGTCATAACAGTGGTGATAATAATGTTAATAATTGCTGAAGAAGCTAAGTGAAGTACTTGGATAAGTAAACTGATAACAGGTCAGATGTTGTATTTAAATGTTGAGACAAGTTCTGATAACCACAAATTATAAATAAACATGTCAATCTTAATCATATTTTCATTCGTAGATGTTACATATACTCGATTAAGTCACTGACACATAAATATTGATACAAAGGGGTACCAATTACATATGCACCATGCAAGTCACTTGATTTATGTGTGGGCTGTGATACTGTCCGAGTACCCAAACCGAAACAAGTGAGTTACTTGGGGGGGGCATACCCCGAGCCTTCGACTTAAAGGTCTGATCCACAAGGCAGGGAAGCAACGTCAATAGATGCAGTCCGGTGGTAACCGGTGACCAACAAGTGGTTCATACATCATTTGTTCCTTCAAGATCCTGGATCCCATGTGCACCATTGATTTGGAATGAGAGTTATCCAACCCCCTTAGGTGGACCCTTCGTGTCCACCAACCCAATTTAGGGTCCTGACAGACATTCGCTTTTCGTCCTCTCAATTTCGTAAATAACAGTAATGCCACGAGATAACAGTTAGTAGGATTTCTCTAGTGGCTGTATGCACATGGCCATATGAGAGCATTTGTAGAGGTTGAGCTAACTTTCCCTATCCTCGACTGTACCAGAGCATTTGTGATATGGAAAGTACATGATAATTTCTTTTTCTTTTTTCACGAAAATAATATTTGTAAAAACCTTTCATGTGTATCTACACAACAACCAACCGTATGAAACAATCAAATTACATGAAATGAAATGAATTCACTTAATCCTACAATGTTCATTGTTCATGCTTAGTAGACATTTATCAAAAAAATTGATTACATAATAAGTTTTTTTATTGTTGTTGTTGTTGTTGATGATGATGATTGAATAGAGTAAAAAGCTGATGAATATCTAAATGAATCTATTCATATAAATAACTCTTATTCTATATGGAAAATGGATATACGTTTGAGAATATTGATTAGATTTATTGATTTCGTTAAACATGAGATCAACATAGGAAGATCGAGGATATAGTGGATTGTTCATTATATTAAAATATAGTGAAATATTAACTTGATCAAAGTCTTAATACGGGACTCTTTAATGAATGTACACCTACAACCTATAATCTCAAGGGATCGAACTCAGGATAGTCAGTTTCGTGTTGAACGGCTTCATCTCTAGACCACTGAGCTGTTATCCAATAGTGCATATGTTTAAATTCAATCAATTCACCGTATTGTTTAGGTATCTTAAAACTAACTATGGTGAATACCTGTCTCATTCCCGACAGAAGGTCCTGGGTTTGATGCTCTGTGATTGTGTACTGTCACTGACATGTCTAATACTAGAACAATACAATTGTCCAGTGGTACACGTTTTCATTGTCGATCTATTTAAAATAAATTTAGGACTGGTGGTATGAAAATGAAATCTAGTAAATGTTAAAAAACATATGCTTACTAGTAAATGGCTTCAAGAGGTATATCCCGGAGTTCTAGTGAAAAGTAGTGACCATTGGAGTTCAACCAGGTCTGTTGTGAGATAGCAACTCACTAAAGATAATGATTTACGGTGACTCATTTTCGTGGATTAGTTGAAGTTAGACGGCTCAGTGGTCTAGTGGTAAAGTGCTCGCGCAAGAAACCAGTAGGTTCTGAGTTCGAATCTCTCAGAGAGTGAAACTGTGGATGCACACTGTTGAGTAGTCCAACACTAAGACGAAATGGCCGTGCAGTGCTTCCAGATTTTCCATGGTGGTCTAGCTTCAACTGACTCATGATCTTAACCATTGAAAAAACACTTAACTTTTAAGACCAATGGCGTCTAAATTAATTAGCAAACAATACGGAAGTTGAAATACAGATTTGGGATGTCAATCAGTCACATGATTTGGAGTCAACCAAAAATTAAACAAACACTAGTCAACCAGACATGTTTAGTGTTTTGAATGGATAATGATACAGTTCACATGAAGGTTTATTAGATCCAGTCATCAATAGAATGAAATATACATTCTGAATCTTTACACTGTTCATTCAAAATGATTAATATTCTCAACATGTAACTTGAAATAGTCTAATACATATGTAGTTCAACCAACTTAATCAAAATTGATAGAGAAGCTTTGGAAGATGTGGAATCTTTCATGTACTTGGGAAGCATCATCAATGAACGGAGAAGATCTGATGCACACATAAAACGAGAATTGGTAATGCAATTACCACATTTATACAGTTGAAGAACATATACAATTAAAAACAATCGTATGTCAATCAATATCAAAGTCAAAATCTTTAATACGAACGTCAAAACAGTAAGGTTTATTGTACACAGCTGAACGTTCGAAAACGACTACAATCATCGTCAAAATGGTATGTTCATTTATAAACAATTGTTTACACGAGATACTTAATATCGATTGACCGTAATCCATCAACAACAGCGTATTATGGGAGATAACAAACTAGCTTTCAATTGAAGAGGAAAGATGATGAAAGTGAATAGAATATACATTCAGGAAATTATTAACTTGGAATCGTGAAAGGAAACAAAAAAGATGAAAGTCAAACAACATACTACATCATGAATTAGAAACAAACATAAGAAGGATAATTGGCAATTGGAAACAACTGAAAAGGATTGTTCAGTACAAAGTTGGAAGGGAGAATGGTTGTGTGTAGCCTATTCTCTTCCATGTGGAGATTTTAGAAATTTCACTGGTTGAAATCATGAGTCAATTGAACCTAGACCACCATGGAAAACCTGAAAGTACTGGACGGCCGTTTCGTCCTAGTATGAGACTCCTCAGCAGTGCACATCCATGACCTCACCCCCCTGCGAGATTCGAACCCAAGGCCTACTGGTTTCACGCGCGAGCACTTAACCACTAGACCACTGAATTGACCGGCATTCAACGACGTTAATATATATTCTTTTCAAAAACAATAATAATCAATATATCATTTACTTACTTCATGTATTTCACGTTTATAATTTGATCTTTTCTGTGTTGATTTTAATTTACATGTATAACAACAACTAGTTTTACAATGATCCGGATCAGTTATTGATTTTTTATTCCGTTTAGGCATATGTTTATCAATAGTATTATAGATTATTATTATTATTATCACTTTGTTTGATTGAAACCATCACAACATCAAGGCAAACATTGATTAGGAAAAAAAATTCACAAAAAAGAAAACATTTCTCCAATCCATTTTTTAAGGAAAAAGAAACCCTGGTATGACGTAATATATAGTTTCCATGTTCAATCATGAATATTTCATATCACGAATAGCATAGATACAACTTTTTATTGTTGTTGTTGTTGTGATGGGAAATATTCTATCTAATTAATCGATTATATTCCATATAATTTAACGAAATAAACATAAAATATGTTGAATAAATCAATGAAAAAAAGAACATTTGAACTCAACAATATTTCAGTTTGTTTGTTTATTTCATTATTATATAAACATTTTAAGGATGAAATAAGATTGTTGTTAAGATTAATTCATTATTAAACTATGAATAAAATAGATAAATAAATGAACATTTGTTACTATGCAGATATATATAAATATATATCAATCTATAATCCAATAAGCTAAAAAGAATATGAAAATAGGATTGGTGCGTGTTTATTTTATTTGTTTTTTTTTCTCTTTTTTTTGTGTTTTTTCTCTCGATAACCTTGAAATCGAATAGCTATTCCCGCTTTTTGTTTTCAAGGTCATATGAAATAGTTTTCTATAACCAATCAGTGTTTAATGATGAAGAAAATCATGAATAGTAAAATAAAATTAGACAGTGGAATAGTAATCATAATTCACATGTAAATCTAATTGTAACAATGTTGTTTCTATTTTCTTTTGTTTGTTTTTTGTTTTGTTGGCTCCTGGAAATAAAATGTGGTTGATTTAAACATTGAATATTTTGCATAAATAAAATGTAAAATGAAATGGTTAGTCTGTTGTTTGGTTGTTTATTTGTTTGTTTTAAATGAAATCCAACATAATAATATAAATCTATGAAATATGATCCATAAAAGGTGGGTTTTGTGAAGATTATAGTATATTTAATAGTTGAATTTATCATGGAATACCTGGAAGTATTAGGTGGTCATTTCGTTCTAGTATGAAATTCTTCAACAATGTGCATCCACAATCTTACGTGTGAGAATCGAACCTAGGATCTTTTGTTTCATGTGAGAAGCTTTAATCTTCAGACTACTGGATATCATAGTAATTTCATTAGTTAAGATCATGATTTAATTGAAGCTAGACCACAATGGAATACCTGGAAGCACTGGATAGCCATCATTATGGGTCCAATGATCCAAGCAAGACATAGAGCAAGCTTATGATAAAGGTGATTTATTCATTATTATCTCATAAAAAAACTAGTAATGTTTTCTGTAAGATAGTCTTTACAACATTGATTGATATTTGTTAGTTCCAGACAGATGGTGACAGGTGTGGTTCTATAATATCGAGATGGTGGAGAAGATTTGTAGCTCAGTTGGATGAATTTGATTAAGTTTTTTTCTCCGAACTGGATAGTTTACTCGTGAAGATTTCATCGTTTCACTGAACGATATTATCACCACAAACTTCAAGTAGAAGTGAAGTGTTCGAATTGCTCCACATGTAGTTTATAGCTTGTCCAGCTGAGCCATCCTTTCCCTAAGATAGTTTCTCTATCTATTTATATGATGAATATTTAAGGCATTAATAATCAAACAATTATTAGTTACACTGTCATCATGTCCACCTGAAGTTTATTATCAGTATTATTGTGAATATTTTCATCAGTGAGTAAGATAAGTATACATATTTGTGATTGTAGAGCATTGAAAATGAACTTACCGAAAAGAGAACTCTTCACTAAACCAATGTTTCTTACAGTTCACTTCAACTTAATCATTGTCAGAAACAGACTACAGTTTCAATTCACTTAGTATAATTTGCTTATATCTTCCCATTGTTGTTTAAGATTACAACTAATCAGTCTCTTATTGGCATATGTGCATAATGTGCGTATTGCATCGATATTACCTTAATTCACAAGTATCCAGAACGCATGGTTCTCTGTATTTGGGACTGGTCAACTGGATATACCTTCATCTCAGAGTTAACGTTCACTTCAAACGCCATCACGTGGTCGGTCCACTTAGCTACTGATTCCTGATAGCCACCTGTTTGTGTGATTGGGTGAGATTGAAATTCACATGGTATTATTTACTTGGATCTTCCCGTCGATGTTTTGAACTGCAACTGATCAGTGTCTTATTGGCATATATACATGCTGTGCGGAACACCTCGATATTGTGTTAATTCACAAGCATTCCGAACAAAGATGGATAGGGGCTAACAGTAGAACCTAGTTTGATTCGCGTTTCGTCCCATTTCCAATATACCTACATCCCACACATGTTGATATTCATTCTGGGACTCAAACTCATTACCATTCACTTCAAACACCATCACGTTATCCACTTAGTTACTGAGTCCAGATAGCCACCTCCCTATTCAATAGATTGAAATTGAAATTTGCTTGATATTATCATTTATCTTTACTTATATAGACTACAATTCAATTTAGATTTTCATATAAATTTATTGATTATTATAACAGTAGACAAACACTAATCAAATCTGTTGTCATCATGAATATTACGAAGAAAGTCAACTATTTTTAAGATATAAACAATGTTAATTAAGTAATTCCTTAATTATTTAATAATGTAAGTTTATCTATGAAACATCATTTATGTTACCATCATTGATAAAATCTAAATTAAAGAATAAAATCGATAAATAAATCATTTGATCATCCATATTGAAAGCATAATGATATTTGATTATAATTAGTCATGTATAAAATAACTACACCTGTAACTCTTCCATAGTTACTGCTGATCACAAGCCCGGGTAAAGGAGAAGGATTGGGTATGGGGTTAGTTACCCCTTACCGTAGAAAATTAACTCAATTTTCAGCGATAATTCACTGATTTCGAGCATCTCCAAGTTGTATCTTCACATTTCTGAAGATATTTGGAAGAATATACCGAACTCTCGCATTGTACGAGCATTCCATGTATCTAATTAAATGGTTGCTCTGGTTGTTAGAATTCTAATCATAATCATAATAATTGCTTTGATGGAATCATCCATATTATTATGTAATCTTGTAAGTAACAAGAAGAAATCTTGAAATTTATAGATTATTCTATTATTACTATCATAAGTTACATGTGATCACGATGATGATGAAGTATCTAATTCGGTACAATAGTGCTCGCCGTAGGACTTGTCGATAGATGCTGCTGTCTATAGTCGTTGGAGAGCTTTTTTAGATGATATATATGTAAATATATAGAAAGCCCCCAAATGTCGAAGTAAGGCTGAAGATCGGTTTAGTCTGTTCCCTCTCTCCAAATGCACTCACATGGCCACGCCTATACACACACCACCAGATAAGTCCAACTCGCTACCTTCTCGTGACATTACTGTTATTTACGAACTTGAGAGGATGAAAAGCGAATGTCGGACAGGACCCTAAACCGGGTTACTGGACACAGAGGGTCTACTTAAGGGAGTTGGATAACCCTCATTCCAAACCAGTGGTGCGCATGGGATCCAGAATCCTGAAGGAACAAGTGGTGTATGAACCAATTGTTGGTCAGTGGTTACCATCGGAATACATCTACTGACCTTGCTTCACTGCGACATCCGTCCATCAGCTGGAAGGATAAATGGCTAAACCTTCTGGATATAACAAACTTATTGAACGTGAAGAACGTAAAGGTCAACTCATACCTTAAAATAATATTCGATTTATCAAGGGATGCAAGTGTTCGAAAGTTACTTACTTTCTTACTCATGTTACTACCAATGAAGCATAGACCACCAACCAGTATTCTCCTACTCGCTCTATTCTGGACCTTCTTTTCTACTTCTATCCAATTGTTGTTCATTCTTCTCATGTCTGTTTCCATTTCTCAGCGTAATGTGTTCTTTGATCTTCCTCTCCTCTTTTGGCGTTGAGGATTCCAAATGAGGGCTTGCCTTGTGACACAATTGGGTGCTTTCTTCAATATGTGTTCTATCCACTTCCAGTGTCGCTTCCTGATTTCTTCCTCGGCTAGAAACTGGTTTGATCTCTCTCACCGTAGTTTGTTGCTGTATCTTCTGGATGATGGCTTTCGTAGTTCTCCAATTTTCTGCCTCATACAGTAAAACTGTCTTGTCATTTGTATTGTAAATTCTGACCTTGGTGTTGGTTGACAATTGTTTTGAGTTCTTCAGTTGTAAATATGCTGCTCTGGCTTTGCCAATTCATGCATTCACAACTGCATCAAATCTACCGTATTCATCAATGATGCCGCTCAGATATGTAACTGTTTTTACATCTTCCAAATCTTCTCCGTCAAGTGTGATTTGATTGGTGCATCTTGCTTTTCCCTTTGTGTATGTTGAGACTTATTGTTGCTGAGTCTGCTTCTATACTGATCGTCTTCTCCTGCATTTGTTGTTGTATGTGCGATAGAAGAGTTAAATCATCTTCAAAATCTAGAACATCTTCCTGCATTCTATCAGTCCATTATATATCCCATGCACACACACCCTCGAAGATATTGACTTCTTCATGATCCAATTAATCAACAGCAGATAAAGAAAATTGAAAATTGAAACGTATCATGGTTCAAAATGAATCTTTAACAAAAAACTAAACACACATAAAATCATTCACATTCCGTATATCAGCCAAATTTCATTTGTTTCTATGCCAATTCATTCATAGATTTGTTTATGTAAATCATATGATCTTATTTGAAAACTATGACTGAGTATTACACTTGTGATTACATAATCATATTGATTCATGTGAATGATGTTTTCATATTAGATTAGAAACAATAATTGGTGACGAATTTCTACTGTTGATTCATGTTAACTATTTTCAATTTTATAAAGGAATTTTATTCTAAAAAGACAGATATAAAGAGATAGGTATCTACCTCGGTACAATGGTAGATGGTCGCGCAATTTCGTGGATTGGTTGAGATCAGACATTAACACCACTAGGTGCCGGCTCAGTGGTCCAGTATGTTCAGCGTTCGCGCGCAAGACTGAATGCCCCGAGCTCGAATCCTGCGATAGGACGAAAATGCCGTCCAGTGCTCCTAGGTTTTCAATGGTAGTCTAACATCAATCGGTTCATGATTTCAATCAAAAATCTGATACTCTGCACAACCCCTATACTGATAAAAAGAAATCTATTGATCATATTGAAAGGCAAACTTAATGATGACTGTAGAAAACTTGAAATAAGAACTTGTTTGTCTATATACTGAGGTTCATGTGAGAAATAATGACTGATAGAATTAGATAATTCACAATTAATTGATCATTGGGTAGGTGATTTATGTCATTTATTTCATGTTATTCTTATTATAGATCGAATCCTATCGACCAAGTTGCAGTTTTGATATGTACTATGTTGAGATAACATGATAGTTGGAGGTAGTCAACAGGAAACCTTGAACCCGAGTTTCGTGCTATTTGGCATTCGTCAGTAAGGTGAACTTTTCATTTTGAGGGAACGGATTCTCCCTGACGGATTCTATCCCATGTCACCCAGCTTCACAGTCAGAGATGTTATTACTGGGCTATCCAACGCGCGACTGACCTCCTGTAGGATTGAATTGTATTTTCAATTGATTGATCATTGGGCGGTGATCAGTATCATGTGTGTCAGGTCCTTAGACTATGTTAGACGTGTGAAAAGTTTTATCAGTTCCATTCGATAATGACCATTCAATGTAATGAATCGGTTAAGGTTTTAAGGTAATGGTTACGAACGTAATAGTCTAGAGTCTAAGTGTTCATCAAGAGACATGAAAAGTTTGGGTCTGATCCCTGGTGCGTTCATTAGTGTGTGTACCACTGAAGAGCTCCATCTTAGATTGAAACAGTTTTCCAGTGTCTAGAAGTATTCAATGTTTGTCAAAAGCTATTTCATGGTGTGAATAATAATGTAGAAAGCTGAACATAAATATTTGTGGTACTACTTAAAAAATCTATCTGGTGAAATCAATTAGAAAGGTATGTCATTCATCAGATAACTCACCTTTATACCATCGGATGATAAATATTTTGTCATAATTAATTAGTTCTCTGTGTGTTTGAATTCAATCAACTGCTTCTCGTTTGTCAAAATCACTTCATTGTCACATCTGAGAGAATCTTTCATAATGATTTAGGAATGAAAAATATCGATTACTTATATCTTTTGTTTTGCATTATGCAATAGACTCAAGCTTATCCATTGGTGCCAATAACTAAATTTACATGAAGATTAAGAGTGATCGTTAGGTTACAGTTGATTCTGGCTGCATGCGAGTGGAAGAGCGGACTCTTCCCATCCTGGCATTTTAGGGTATGGTTGGGGCTACCAGTTGGATCCAGGACATGAGTTTTGACCTGTTTAAGATACGTCAGCTGAATTTACATGCATTTCAAAATTGTTCACTCCGGAAGTCGAACTCATTACCTTTCGCTTCAGATGCCATCTTGTTATTCACTTGGACATTTTTATTCATAAGTTCATTGTTAGTCCTCAAACGCCTGAAATATTTACTCAGTAGTACGTGGTGTGTTTTTAAATCAGATCCCTCAATTAAATTTAGTGATTTAATAAACATCCAAATCCTCATGTTCACAAACCAATTTACTTAGGTACTTACACCTGTTACCGTTCTTGTGTTCACCTACCAAGAATCTCTAGTCAAATCTATTATAGCCTTTCATGTCTAGTTATAACCAGATTTCACTCGTGATCTTGGTATCTACCTCTAGTTGCCGGTGCCATATATTCTTTGGTTTGTCTGTTTACCTTTCACCTTGGAGATTTCAAGTTACAACTGACTATAAATTATATCCTATCGACCCCGAGAGTCTTTTCCTAATAACCTTAACTGGAAATTGGTCTATTCTTAAACGGAGAAGAATATTTCCGTTAGGTGTACTTTTCAGGGAAATTAAGAATAAGTATTGTATTTGGGCAGCATCATTGATGAACAGGGTGGATCTGATGCAGATGTGAAGGCGCGGATCGGCAAAGCAAGAGCAGCATATTTACAACTGAGGAACATCTGGAACTCAAAACAACTGTCAACCAACACCAAGGTCAGGATTTTCAATACAAATGTCAAGACAGTTCTACTGTATGGGGAAGAAACGTGGAGAACTACGAAAGCCATCATGCAGAAGATGCAGATGTTTATTAACAGTTGTCTACGCAAAATACTTCAGATCCGTTGGCCAGACACTATTAGAAACAACGTACTGTGGGAGAGAACAAACCAGATCCCAGCGGAGAAAGAAATCAGGAAGAAGCGCTGGAAGTGGATAGGACACACATTGAGGAAAGCACCCAACTGCGTCACAAGAAAAGCCCTCACATAGAATCCTCAAGGTCAAAGGAGGAGAGGAAGACCAAAGAATACATCATGCCGAGAAATGGAAATAGACATGAAAAAGATGAACAAGAATTGAATGGAATTAGAAAAGAAGGCCCAGGAGAGAGTGGGTTGGAGAATGCTGGTTGGCGGCCTATGCTCCATTGGGAGTAACAGGCGTAAGTAAGTAAGTAAGTAATTGTAAAAGTTACCTAATCTTAATCTAGTGTAGTGTCATCTGAGTTTGATGGAGTAAATTTGGATTCTTTGTTGTCATTTCGAACTTCATTACTGTAGCCTGCTTCATGTATAAATGATCTTTTCACTTATTCCACTGATTCTGTTCAGGTAGTTTTGTTTAAAATTGGCTATAGTTTTAGGTTTTGTTGTGTTCATGTTAAACAACCACTGAAAACCTTGAAAAACTGGACGACCATTTCGTTCTGGTACGGGACTACTCAACAGTGTGCATCCACAATTCCACACAGTGGATTCGAACCTAGGACCACCCAGCTCGCGTCTGAATGCTTAATCTCTAGACCACTGAGTTGGTATCCAATGGCGTTAATGTCTAACTTCAACCAACCCGCGATATTGCATGACCGTCCTTCCGTGTATAGAATCGTCGTTACGTACTGATGTGGAGCCATATCCTAGAAAGAAATGATCATCCAGTGTTTCTAAATTTCTAATGGTGGTCTATATTGATCGATTAATAATCCCAACCAGAACTTAACAATCTCCAAAACCCTTTACTAATAATTTATTGTCTTTGTTCTTGTAACAGTATCTAGGACGATAGTCAATTGCAAACAAGATGATTTGAGTAAAACAACTGCCCAGTGATTCATAGTTTTTTTTTTACCTAAAGTATGTCTACCATTTGGTACTTTGGATTCAATGATTTCTGGATATAACGGCTATCTTACGAAAATAGATACACCGTGAACCTTAATAAAGCAATGTTAAACCACAAGGAATTAAACATACATGGTTAATCATTTTAAAAATATATTTGTCTAACGGTTGGTTGAGTGTGGTCAGAGGATTTCAGTGATAATATCTCTTAAGCAGAAATTGTATTAGGCAAATTCAAATTATATAAGAATCTCTAATTCTTTAAGATTATAAAGATGCTTTACTGATGAAATCATTTTAGTACGAAGTATTTATTAGTATTATTCGATTGATTCAATATGATATGTTTAGTAAAATATATAATTCTTATAACAAAGCCTGGCGCGAGACTGATAGTTCCTGGGTTCGAATCTCGCGGGGTGCGGAATTGTGGATGCGCACTGCTGAGGAGTCCCATACTAGGACGAAACGGCCGTCCAAGGGTTCCAGGTTTTCCATGGTGGTCCAGCTTCAACTGACTCATGATTTCAATCAAAAAATTTCAACAAGTTGTCGCTTCTTATTTATTGATGGATCCTGAAGACACAGCCTGAAATCTTGTAGTGATATTGAACAATCGTCTTGAATTGTGATTACATTATAATTACGGTACATGTTTAGACTTAACAGGAATCAAAGATAGTCCACCTTGTCAATCACTGATAGGCAGTTACATGTTAGCAGTTCAGGAATCGTCATTTGAACAATGTTTATTCTTTTCGATAGATATCGCCAGCAACCACAATATCTTTGATTGGACTCTTTTGTAACTCGAAAACCTGGAGGTCGTAACCCAATCGTTGTTGCTACCTTGACGTGGTGGTCGGGCTTGTCTATCGTGATGAAGCAACTGAACTATACTGGCTGGAACAACCGTTTCTCAAGGTCCTACCATGTCAGACAGGTCGGGTGAAGAGCGGCAAGATAAAAACCAACAAACCCAAGATCCGAATGCGAAGTCGTTCTGCTGACTGTACAGAGGTGTAACAGCAATAATGTGTTTCCTTCATACAACCAGTATGACAGCGATGCTGCCTTCCCACAAGAAGGGGTGGGGTTGGAAAAGGTCGACCCTGAAAATGCACACCTTGCCTTATCCCATGGATATCCGTCTCCTGCGGTAAGGTCTCAACAAGTACGGAGCTAACACAAAAATCACTCATTAAGGGTCGTGTGTGACCGACCTCAAGCAGTTATCCCTTGGGCACTGCGGTCACGCTCTCAGGTCACTAAGACCACCTTCAATCCAATTTCCTTTTCAGGTACCTCCAGAAGAACCCTTCCACGGTGTGGGCAACCGGGATGTGATAACCGCCCTCATACCTCTAACAGCACTCTTCAAAGGTCGTAAACGTTTTACAAACACATCCGAATAGGTTATGAGACTAAATAGGCATAATGATGTGTTATAACAAACATAAAAATAGATAACTTATTGAAATATCTAGATAGTAGCGGGGGGGGGGGACTGGTAACTCAGATATTCAAACAAACCGCGTTACAGATTGTTTCCAACTATTTGACATTCACACTAATTATTATCTTCCCAATTGTATACAACGTGTAGATGTCTATATGCATTTAATCCTTATCATTCAATGACATAATAAAAGTTTCCCCAATTAAACCATCTGGTTTTTTTCAACTAATAAAATGAAGAAAACAACTAAATAAAACAAAACTGGCGTCAACCACAAAAGAAAACAGTGATGAATAATGTGCAATGAATTGTAGTTTCAAGCAAATTACAGGTTAAGCATTTGATTTATATGTATACGTTATTTCAAAAGAGTTTTATGGTCTTAACGCTACTACTACCATTACTACTGTTACTACCACTACTACTACTACCACCACCACTACCATTACTACTACTACTACTACTACTACTACCACTACTACTACTACTACCACTACTACTACTACTACTACTACCACTACTACTACTACTACTACTACTACTACTACTACTACTACTACTACTGCTACTACAACCATTACTATTAGTAATAATAGTAAATCACATCTGTTTAAATTGTAAATGATTGGCGTCAATTGTGTCTTGCGGCTAGTAGATGATTGACTTACAATTAAATCAGATTATATTAACCGACAATTTAGAAAAAAAACTGTTCTACAATGAATATTTATAATAATTTATAAGATATAATTACCGATAGATCAGTTTAGTAATTAAAAAGCATGAAAAGATAATTTGTTAAAACTGTATTCTTTATAGCCGGAGTTTGACAACAGCTTCCCGGAAATTAGTCTTTGTTGTCCAACCTGCGTCCAATGTGTTTCACTGATTCCAAGCACCATCAAGTTATATCTTTTCATTTCTGTAGCAAATTGGGTGATTCTCCCAGTCTTTCACATTGTACGAATATGCCATGTAACTAACTTAATGGTTTCTCTGGTTGTTAGAAGGTGCATCAACCACGTGACTTCCGAAGAAACTCGGCTTTCATTATGAGACATAATAACTCTTCTAAATGAAGACCTTCTAACTACCAGGGCAGAGTTTAATGGTTTGAGTTATTTTCTGGTCAGTGTATTCACTAAGCAAGTTCGGTTTCTACAGGACGGGGTCGCTAAACACATGCTCAACCCTCCTCCTTTACCCGGACTTGAGACCGGCAGTAGCCCCAGAGGCACTCCAGGTGGAGTTTTGGTAAAACTGTAGGATTAAAAAGATTAGCTCTTGAACATTTCAGATGAAATTCATTATACAGTAAAAGATAGTTTCTATTTGTATTGGTTGTTTAAATCTTTCCGTTGATTCTTGGGACTGTAATTGATCATTCACTTTTTGGTATGTGTGTATAATATGTGAATTGACTCGATAATTTCAGTTAGTCACCAGGATTATAAACAGATATACATGACGGTTAACAGTTGGATACTGGACGGTAGGTTTATCTTACTGGGTCCCAGTCCTGAAGTAAACATCAACATCGGGATGAAGGTAAATCCAATTGACGAGTCCGAAAATAGAGCAAAACGCTCATCCTGGATTCAACCGATTGCCACCATCTAACTCAACCGTGAAGGATAGTTTGACTGTATTTCGTATTTTGTCTTATTTCGGTAACGAGTTGATCATCTAGCATTTAGAAAACACTAAGCCACTTAGGGCCAACATGTTATGTGATTGTGGACAGTAAATAACATGTATAGAAAGTATAGAATTAAGGGTTGAAAAAGCTTAACACCATAGTGTGAACTGATTGAGGAATTCTATATTAAGTGGCATATTTTTTTGTCAGATCAAGTTTAGAACTTTAACAGATCAGTGCTTTATTGATTAAGTTGATGCTGTAAACACAATTTATTACTTGTACTACACTAGCAGATGTTGCTGATGTGTCAGCAAAGTATTATTATTTATACTGTAGAATTATGCGTTTAGAAATACTGCTAAATTTGTAAGTTTCCGTCGATGGGCTTAAGCAAATCATCAAAATTGAGAAAACTGTTGTTTGCAAAAAGAAGTAAGGGATAGAAGAGATAAAATAGAGTAGGAACTTACTTACTTACTTACTTACGTCCGTTACTCCCAACGGAGCATAGACCACCAACCAGCATTCGCCAACTCAAGATATCTTGGGTTTTCCTTTCTAGTTCTATCCAATTGTTATTCATTCTTCTCATTGTTAGGTACGCAGAGGAATATATTAATAATTATCGTGTTAAGTCGAATGGTGTCCTTGGACGTTAAATGGACATCTCCTATTGGTCGATGTTTGTTTCACTTGTTAAATATTGTGTAAATGTTATTTCCTATTTTATGGTACGATGTGGTCTGCTTGGTTGGTATATAAACAGAGTGTGTTTGAAATATAATGATTCATATCTCCAAGTCTGAGACTTGCGTTTTGGACTCAACTGGCTGGGAAAGACAGCGAAGCAGGGCCGATCGGGACTCTAGGTCGTCCGTTACGTATTTTCCGTGTGACAGAAGCGATCGATAAGTACGTTGAGCATTAAACCTGCAGTCACACGTTACAACACTCATGTCTGTCTCCATTTCTCAGCGTAATATGTTCTTTTTCTGCTTTGGCCTTGAGGAGTAGATTAGAAAAATAACACCTTTTTCAAATCTTACTAGACGTGTTTTTTTCAATAGGAGATTGTATGTTGCAGGAACGTCATTTTCAAAAAGGATAACGTTAATCTAAGAGCTTTTTTCAACTGTGAATGAGAGTTGGCCAGGAATTTACTAAAGATGTCGGATATTTGTAGCCCTCTATAGTTAAATATTAAGTGAAATTTAGGTCATTGTCAATAGCGCAAACAGAACGTTCTCTTAGCAATTTCTAAATAATCCATGTATCTCTTTATTACTGCTGGGACCGCTTTTGTCTGAATTTTATTCAGAATTGTCTGTACTCAATGAGCTGACTAATATAGTTGAAGTTAGACATTAACACCGTTGGATGCCGGACCACTCAGGGGTCTAGAGGTTAAGTGTCCATGAGCGAGACCGACAGGTCCTGGGTTCGAATCCCCCGGGGAGAGATCGTGGCTGCGCGCTGCTGAGGAGTCCCACAATAGAACAAAATGACCGGCCAGTGCTTTTGGGTTTTCCATGGAGGTCTAGTTTCAATTGATTCATGATCTTAACCATTGAAATCACTGATATACATATTGGTGTTTGGATCTTTCTCTTGATGTTCAGGATTATAATTAATAAGTTTATTTGGACATATATGCATTTTGTCTCCATTGTCTCGATATTGACAATGAGTTACAAAGATTTCAAATAGATCAGATTGCATATGCACCAACAAAGAAGACTGAGCATTTGTAGTGATTATCTGAACTTAGTAGCTATGTGGATTACGTGATGACATTTGAAACGATAGATACTGAGTTCGAGTTTCGAAGTGAACATTAACAACTGGAATTTATGCATATTTAGATGATGAATCCACAATAAGAATAAACGTGCATTCTAAATTTCACTGCTTGGTACCGTTCATCTCTACTTAAAACTATAACATTTACCAAAAATCAAAATAGATTTTTATCCGATTGAGGGTTTTTGTGGTGATTGCAGTAATTTAATTGTTTAATTGACAAGTCGATTCAAACTAGACCAACATTGAAAATTTGAAAGCACTGAATAGTCGTTTCATCCTAGTATGTGACTCCTCAGTAATGCACATCCACAATCTCGCGCGCGGGACTCGAACCCATGACCTTAGAATGCACGTTAGATTTGAATTTTTTCCCAAATAAACAATTTTTGCTTCACATTTATAGATCACAATATACACAATGTGAGTTTTGTCGAGTTCATGAACAAATCAACCGATAAAAAGCTGAAAGCACTGAATGGTTGCTTCATTCTAGTATGGAACTCCTCAGCCTGAGTGCTCTGTTAATGGATAACGTAATAATACCACCAATCAGAGAGCAGTGAATTATCGATCGGACCAAAGACGCGTAAAACACGTATGAGCAGCCTAGAGTCCTGACTGGTCCTGCTTTCCGTTTAGCCTAGCCAGTTAAGTCCAGAACACCAGTCTCAGCCTCTGCAATATGAATCATTACATTTCAAACATACTGAGTTTATATACCAACAAGACAGACCACATCGTACCATAAAATGGGAAACAACATATATACAAGATTTGGCCAAATGTAGCTGCAAATGTGGGAGGTAGTAATCAATAGACAGAGAATAATTCAAGAATGATAAGTCGTATAATATCAGTCTGTAGGTCAAAATAAAGCTTATAATTAGAGACATATGAATATGAACAGTTCAGTTACATAACAATTATACGATAAATATATACGTTTAGTATTGGTCCATAAATGGATCCCAAAGTTACCATTCATTATGCTTATCGGGACCTAACACTGTGAGAATTTGTGACCTCGTACACACGAAATGAAATAAGGTTTTTCGGTCTCTTATACGCGGATGCTTAACCTCTAGATCAATGAGATGGCATATCACGTACAGAGTCTCGGATTCCCAATGCTGAGGAATTTCATACTAGGAAGAAACGGCCTTCCAGTACTGCAAGGTTTTTAATGGTTGTCTAATGTTGATTAGCTCATGATATCATTACAAATGGATCGTGAATCGTGGATGCGCACTTCTGAAGAGTCCCACAATAAGACGAAACGGCCGTCCAGTGCTTCTAGGTTTACAATGGTGGTCTAACATCAATCGATTCATGATCTCAGTCAAAAACTTTATAATCTCCACAACCCTATACCGGCACGCGAATGCTTAACCATATTATCAATGAGCTGGCAGGGTCGCGGATTCCCACTGCTGAGGAATCCCATACTAGGACGAAATGGTCATCCAATGCTGCAAGGTTTTTAATAGTTATCTAATATTGATTAGCTGATGATATTGATTCATTAAAACAAAAACTGACTATATTCATAGAGACAATACAGTTGTCATGTTAAATATATTTTACCTATAAAAATACTTATATATATGATTAGATATTATCTCATATGATGTGTTAAAAGTTATTTCCGTAGTGATAAGACATTTCCTAGTTTACAACTGTTTATCTAATCCACAAAATTTTGTTCAGATTCTATTTGTTTTATGATCGTAATAAAGATCAATACACTGAACAAGAAAATATGTATATGTTACTGATAATGTAATAAGTAGTTTTTACATGGTATCCTGACAACTAATTTCAACCGTTTAATATTGTCTCCATTCCATGGTTTCCATGGTTTTCTGAACGTCCCCAAAATGCCATGGTACGGCCAAGAGTGGGGAATATCCGCAATCCTTCTCGAAATGCTCTCATAAGGCCACGCGTACATAGTCTCTGCCAGGGGAGTACTATTAACTGCTTCCTCACATCACTGGTGTTGTTTACGATATTGAAAAAATGAAAAGCGAATGTCGGACAGGAGCTTTATCTGGGTTGCTGGACACGGTGAGTACACCTAGGAAAGTTGGAAAACCGTGATTCCAAACTCAATGGTGCATATGGGCTCCAGTATCCTGATAGAACAAATCGCGTATGAACCAATTACTGGTCCCCA